TATGCATATTACACATATCAAATTCATTTCTTATTATTACATGAATGTGTTGGATATGTGGACTTGTAAAACTACATTATCATTCTAATCTTAAGATGCTAATTAAGCCCCTTTAGGAGTGCTTATTTAAGCATTTATTTTAGGTCAGGACCATACCAATAAGCACTTACATGCATTTGGAAAATAAGTCTGAATAAATGTTTTTTCAGGAAATAAACCCGTTTTGAATAAGTTCAAATTCTGGTTTATTTCAAGCATTTTTTGAAAAAACACTTATTGTATTTTTTGTCCATCTTGGCCCGTTAGATAATTTTCAAAATACCTATACTACCCCCATTTGAAAGAAACACTTTTTCACCAAAAAACACTTATTGTATTTTGAATCCCCTATCATATCATTCCCAACTCCCAAGTAATTGCCTCGTCCACTGTTTGTTTGGATCAGACCAGATTATATTGGACCGTGAAAATCAGGAACTGTGATCATTTCGGGTCCTGATTAAATAATGGTTTTTACAAGCTGACCGAACGGGCCACTTGTCCAGTTAACTAGAAAAACTGTGACCCATAGAGCATTCTGGTTTTTAGTCTAATCCAAGTCTTATAGCATTGCTATTAGGTTGATGGTTGTATTGCCTAGCTTCTTTGCTTCTATGTTTTTGTTTATAAGTCCATATTTAGAGCCAATTGTGAGGCCTATAAATAATAAACATTAAACGAAGAAAATAAAGTATTGGAAAGTTATAACATATAGTTATCTTATATATAGTTATCTTATATAATTGTGTAAGACTTGGAGATCAGCCTTGACGGTCAGACCATGAAAGCTAGGAACCAGTGACTATTCCGAGTCCCCGTTAAGCGATGGTTCTTATGAGCTGAACAGGCCAATCATCCAGTAACTAAAAGTCTAGAAAAACTGTGATCCATAAAACATTCCGGGTTGGATTTATGTTGCCAATTCCATATAGTTGGGATAAGGCTAGGCTTTGATGATGATGATGATGATATTATGATATACCTGCAAACAAGCCAAATTTAAATCAAATCAAAACCACCAAAATAAGTTAAACAAGCTCAAATTCAGGCTTAGCCTGATTATACAGTTCAGCTAAGCTATAGTGATTATGTTTAACAAACTTTTTGTTAGATTGGACATTGAAAAGAGTCTGAATTCAATTAAGGAGCTGTTTGATAATAGCTGAAGTTGTTGAACTGAAAGATTAATTGCTTTGTCTTTTAGTTCTTAAAATAGTTAAATAATAAAATTTTTGAGGTTATAGTGATCTATCCAACTTCAGTTTCATTCAGCCATTAAGGAGCCCACAACCTCCTTAAAATCCTATCCACTAAAAGAGAAAGCAATAATTATTTCAATTAATTCAGTATATTCAGTTGTTATCAAATGGCCCCTAAGCCTTGCCTCACCTATATGAGGTTGGGTGCATAAATCCTCTTCTGCCATTCTGTTTACTGCCATATCTATATTAAAATTTCAACTGTGATCAGTGTTACATAATCTAATTAATCAAGTTCAAATCAATGATGTGAGTAGGGGTGGTCACAAGTTGAGCTCTTCATGAGCTACTCGAGTTCAGTTAGGCTTGGCTTCAATCGAGATTTGAATCAAACTTGAGCCCAATTTACAGGTTCGTTTAATAATCCAGCCAAGCTCGAGCCTAATATAGCTCGGCTCGTCAGGCTCGCGAGCTGAGCTCGAATATGCTATATATATACATACATATAATAATAATAACAACAACAATATAAAACTATTGAAAACAATATATATAATAAAAATATTATATATAATATTTTTTATTTTTATATAATAATAAATAATTAGTATAATTCTTAAATTTTTTAAATATTATATATATATATGTAAAACATTTTTTCTCAAGTCAAGCTTGAACTGAGCCAAGCTCAAGTTTACGAGTTTTTGACTCGAGCTCAAGGTTTTAACTCGAATCGAGCTTGAGCCTCGTACTATTTAGCTCAGCTTGACTCGAATCCACCCCTAGATGTGAGCATATTTAAATAAAAGCAGAAGTCAAGGGAACCAAAACCAGCTAAAGTGGCCTAACTAAACAACTTGTTTTGTATCTAGATTTTTGGTAGTTAGTCATTCCGTTACAAAGGTCTCGTTCATTTATTTGTATCCGGGTAATGTGCTTACTCGGGCAAAATTTGCCCGAATAACTTTCAATATTAATGTTTGGTCTTCAACTTGAACTCGGATCTGCTACCCATGAACTATTCTCATCTCTACTCACGAAACATTATAGTTGTTCATCGAGAAATGTTTCCAATACATGGTGGTGGTGCTCTATAGGTAAGAATATAAGAACAATTTGTGGATAGCAGATTCCAATTATTTCAACTTACCAAATAAAGAGGAGAATATAAACATTTACACGGTAGGTGGACAAATAATTTACCCAGCCTCCAAAAGATTATAGGTATATGAAATCCATTATAACAGTGCGAGAACGGGGTAATTTACCAACTTACCCCCACAAGATCCTAACAAATGAACGAGGCCCAAGGAACTTACAACTTAATGACTTGAAAGGGATAAATCAATAAGTCATTTAATTCAGCTACTTCAGCCCTTATCGGATGACTCCTAAGTGGGATCTTTTGAATGAGTGTGACAGAAAGTGTAATCTTTTTCTTCTTCTCCTTTACGATTTGTCCCTTTTCTCAGGCTCATGTGCGGTGCAGTACGCCCATCCCCTTGTTCCACACCACAAGTCTTGTAAAAGCAGGGTGGGTCCCACCCTTGAAGTCTTATCTGCATGCCCCTTTGGAAGGTAGTGCAATTTGCCTCTGGTCCGCAGAGTCCGGATCTGCGAAAAATAAGATAGTAACAAGGGCAAGTAGCACCCATTTAGATTCAGAATTTCAAACACATAAGAGGTTCGTGTTTGGTTGGACATCTTCTAGCAGACCCGGATACAAAGTCTACAACCACACCAACTGGAGGACATCTCGAGATGTCCAAACAAGCGACCTCTGATACAATTCATTTATTACAATGTCTGTGCATATATGCGTGTGTGGACTTTGCTTCTAACAATAATTGATATCCACATGTATTTGCTCAGAAGGACACCATCTTAAATTCTTAATGACAAATGTGCAATGATATATGTCCCATTTATGTATTACCAATGTTGCCCCTACTCTTTCATGTTTGCAAGGTTTTAAAATTGTGTTGATTCGGACAATTGAACCGTTCAGCCTAGAAACTGGTTAAGTACTGATTCTGTTTTAGTTTTTAACTGTTATTTTCTTAAAAAATGTTATATATATATATATGTATACATATATGTGGTTCGGCTTATAACCTACACTCATGTATGAAATTTTGTTTTCAGGTTTTTTCAATTTAATTCGGAGGGATTCATAAAACGGATTGCAATAAAAAATTCAAGGCACAACCATAACAAAAACTATTGAATTAGTCAACTACCTATTGATCGGGTTGTTAAATTGTTGATTTATTCGATCTGGACAATGGTTTTGGACCAGTTTTCATTTAAATTATTTTTTATTTTTTAAAACATCATAGGCTGATCCATTCGAACAGACGGTTGAACCATACCAGTGGCCGAATTGTTCCAATTCCAAGTCAGTTTTTAAAACATTGCACTTATGCTATGATTTCATATTAATTGCATATGATCACCAAAAAACAAAAAAATTATACCATCTCCATTCTACTCAGTTTTTTTTTTGAAGGTCAATAGGTTATAAGGTAGAGTGTCTCATAACCATATTCATTAATTCAACAGCTCACAGTTACAATCTTGAAAGATAGCAGAATGTAAAAAGATGGGCACATACACCATATATGCATGTGGTTAACAATTAGGGCTAGACCTATTTATGGGCCGGGTCGGGTTGGGCTCGGGCCGGGCTTTCACTCTGTATTAACAAATTTTTTTAAGGCCCGAGCCCGGCCCTCATAAAAAGCTCAAAGCCCAGGCCTAGGCCCAAGCCCAAAATTTAGCCCATGCGTTATTATTGCTGAAGTGGCTGAATAGAGAGAGAGAGAGAGAGAGAGAGAAATTATAAAGAAAGAAATAAAAAATGTATATATATTAAATTATAAATATTATATTAATTATATATTTTATATAATATATAAAATACATATTATGTATTTTATAAAATATATAACATTGAGTCGAGTCGTGCCAGGCTTTTTTGACAAATCCCGAGCCCGGCCCGAAACACAGTCGGGCTTATTGTATTAGGCCTGAGGTCAGGCCCGCAGGCCTAATTATATGACCAAGCCCGACCGGGTGCGGGCCGGGCCATCGGGCTACCCGGCCCATGAACAGGTCTAGTTAGGGCATGTTTGGCCAACAAATGAGTGGCCACATTACTAATACGTGCAACCCAATTTACTAAGTAGTGAGAGAACTTTTTAATAAAAAATCTACAATCTGAGATCAATATGTAAATCCGCCAAAGAGCACAAGAGCCAAACTCTAACAAATTTATAGTCACAATTGTAGAATCTCCCTCAAGAATGATGGAAGAGAGCCCCAATTCTAAAGCAAACAAAAGGGCCCCAATCTACTCAGTTTCAATGTTACTCAACTAAATATGCAACTATCAATCCAAAGTCTCCAAACAATGTACGAGAAAAGGGTAGCTTGGTCCTTAAAAAAGGTTTTGAGGGCATTGTGTGATTAGCATGGTTAAAGGTCAAAGTTATCGAACGGTGCCCACTCGTTCAGTTAGTAGGGCCTCTCTCTCGCTGCTGCAGTGCAGACTTGGATCAAATCCCCCTTTTCATTAGGGTTGGGTCATTCATTGGGTGTCATTGGTAGGGGATGAATCCAAATTTGCTATAAAAAAAAACACTAATAAATTATAATTATTATCAAACAACTTAGATGTGAGTGAGGAATAAATTTAAAATTCCTGAACGGTATTTTTTTATTGGAAATCCAGTAGGGTATTTATAATTTACCCACTAGTGAATCATTTGACAGAAGTATCTCCATAAATTTAGTGAAGAGAGAGTAGAAGCAGCCAAAACCCAAGAGAAAGGGGAATAGGGAGTCCTCCCTCGCTCGGAACAGCCATGGAGGAGAAGGAGAATGTTGCTACCAGTGATGAGCCCAAGATCAAGTACAGAGGAATTAAAGCCATGCCCTTTATAATAGGTAAATGAAATAGATTGATAGATAGAATAATTTACAGGCTCATACTTTGACACTCCACCTTTCAATTTCATAGTTGATGCCATGGCAGAGCTAGCCATTGTGCTATTAATGGAAATATTTTATGCAGGGAACGAGACGTTTGAGAAGCTGGGAACCATCGGCACCTTATCCAACCTCATGGTCTATCTCACCACTGTTTTTCACCTCAAAAAAGTTTCAGCTGCAACGCTAATCAGTGTCTTCAATGGCACTACAAATTTGGCCACCTTAATTGGCGCTTTCCTCTCTGATTCCTACTTTGGTCGTTACAAGACCCTCGGATTTGCTTCCATTGCTTCCCTCCTGGTACTAATCTTCTTGCTCCATCAATCGAGTTGATCTCAGACTGGCTGAGCCAGCAGAACGCACACGATTCATAATTAATATAAATATATATCTATATATCCATTTAATTTCTTTTGTAGGGGTTGCTTGTTATAGTGCTAACAGCGGCAATTTCCAAACTGCACCCTCCACACTGCCGGGCAGAAGAGACCGGAAACTGCACCGGGCCGACGGGAGGGCAGATGGTGTTCCTGCTAAGTGGGTTTGGACTGCTAGTGATAGGGGCAGGAGGTATCCGGCCATGTAACCTAGCATTCGGAGCTGACCAGTTCAATCCGAATACTGAATCTGGGAAGAGGGGCATCAACAGCTTCTTCAATTGGTACTACTTCACCTTCACCTTTGCCGTGATGGTGTCGTTAACGTTCATTGTCTATGTGCAGTCCAACGTGAGCTGGAGTATTGGGTTTGGAATTCCTACAGTTCTAATGTTCTTGTCTTGCGCGCTCTTCTTCCTGGGTTCGAGAATCTACGTCAAGGTGAATCCCGACGGCAACCCCTTCTCCAGCGTAGTGCAGGTCATAGTGGCTGCAACCAAGAAGCGACGGTTAAAGCTACCGGAAAATCCATCTCTGTCCCTCTTCAACCATCTTCCGGCCAATTCTCTCACCTCCAACCTTCCTTATACAAAGCAATTCAGGTATGGGACCCGAAGCTGACTCTACTTTCTATTTAAAAAGGGATTGATGTTTCCATCATTTAAAAGGTGTTTGGCGCAGCAAAGGAAATGACTTAATTAAAAAATGGATGAACGCTATAAATAAACTTTAGATGATTTAGAGGTTGATTGTCTGGTGATGAGTCATTTAATCTGATGCGAGCGAAGTAGAGTGGTAGCTGAAAATGTGGCATTGAGGCTGGCCCAGATATCCACCATTACCGGATCCAGCAAAAGCACTTTTGTTGGTTTGTATAATTGAGTGTTTTCCGTCCGGGGATGCACAAGAATCTCTTTTCATATCCTCCTTTTCAGCGCTAAAGCTGGGCTGTGGGGTACTGGATACAGAACCGGCCCTCTTAGTGGGTCACGGGCCCCAGACCCAGAGCTTGCTGCCCGTTCCATGTTTGGAGCATCCTCATCCGGATACCTTGTAAATCAATGGAGCCAAGGAACAACAATAGGGTACAACTGTTTGATTCAATGTTTTCAAACCGCCATTGACCCTGATGGTTAGAGTATTTGGCTCAGGAACTGTTCATGTTGGAGAAAATGGGGTCATTGTAACTTTGGAGGAAAAGCTCTGAGGTGCATCTGAAGACACTGTCTTTAAAACGTTATTTGCCCCCATTCAGTTTTACTGAGTTTGTTGTTGGGTTACAGGCAAATTCGTTCCCAGGATACAACAGAGCCTTGGGCGAGAATCTGCAACCAACAAAGTTGAAGAGTCTCCAAAGAAACCTTCTGTGAGACTATAGCAGACCGGACTAAGAGAGAGAGAGAGAAAGAGTGAGTGAATTTCAAAATTGTGTGTTTTGAAGTCTGATTCATGCTCCTTAAATAATTTGTGAAGAGGTATGAAGAAAATGTAGGTGTTGGTTTAGAGAAGGCACCTTGAACAGTCACAATTTCAAACATTGTGACTGTTTAAAAAGTAGCTAACAGTGACTGTTAACTTTGAATTGTGCCTCTTGATCACACCCGATCGAATTGTGACCGTTGATCTCATCAACGGTGATCAACGGTCAGCAACGCACCAAAACCAAAGCCACCCATCGCTCGCGAGCCACGCAGGTGCGAACAAAGTGCGCCTCTAAAGCGCCTCATTGCGTCACGCACATGCGTGCGTGCGCGTTGCGCGGTATCGAATCCCCATACTCTCTTCTACTAATTCTAAGGAGTGTAAATCAGCTCCTATTGAAATACTGAAAACAAAACTTATAATTTTTCAATGTGGGATAAGTTCAAAACTGAGTTTTGTAAGAGAAAAACTAATTTTTCAATCAAGTGTGCAGGTGCAATTTCTCATGTAATTGACCAATCAAACCCATTGGATTTAATCTCTTATGAGATTAAAATCCAACAGTTCAGACAACTGGTGTCGTTTTACCCTAAACTTAGTCTTCGAACAAAAACCATTGAACTGGTCAATGACTTATTGACCTGGGTGATAGAACCATCGACCTGTTCAACTGTTTTTGACCATTTTTATTTTTTATTTTTTTTTTGTTAGAACGGGCTATCTGTTTGAACTGGATAATCAAATTTTTGACTCAAAAACTAGTGACCATAACGATTCCGGTTCCAAGTCGATTTTTAAAACATTGGTTTGATTCTTTGTGCTGATTTTCAGGGGTATAAGTCGAGCCAGGTTAAGTCAAATTAAGGTAAGCCCTAGCCCAACATGAGTTGTTGAACGAACCCTCAACCATAAGTGTTAACCCTAATATTAACCGAACCCAAAAACTTCAGGTTGGGGTCAAGTTGACCTAATTTCTCTACTTTCTTTTGCCAAATGTTTTTAAATCTCAGATTTTAATATGTGTAAAAGAACATATTTATCATGTTTTAGAAAAATAAATACCTTTAAACTTATAATTTTAACAATATTACATTTTTTTTTGGGTTTTCCCTTGCCTCCTTAGCTTAGGAATGATGTTTCTTCGAACTATTGTACGATGCACCCCTTTAGTTGCTTTTAAATTTTAATAAGTTTCCTCTTCTTCTACCAAAAGAAATTACATTATATATAAATATAGATGGATGGATATACACATACATACATACATAAATTTATATATAAATACCTACGGTAAAAAGTGCATAAATATATACATATATACATTTATGAATGCATATATATTTGTATATACATAAATGCCTAAATACATGTATATTTAAATACTTATATAAATATATATTTATATAATATTTACACATATAAATATGAAATTAAGTTATTGGATGGGTTTGCACTTTTCAACCCTAACCCTAGCCAAAACATCAACCCAATCCAACTTTTTTGGTCTGGGTTCAGGCTAATCCGGTTCAAGTTACAGTCCTATAGCCAATTCTTTATTCTTGTGTGTGTGAGACTTGGGACTTATTCTGGTTCAGTGAAAACCGACCAGTTCTGGAGTCTTTTGGTTGAACTGTCCGGATGAACCGGGAAAAGGATCTCAATCCATAGTTGATTTTAAGTTACTAAGATTCTATTGTAACGAAATGATATGTTGACCAGGTTCCTGGACAAGGCTGCGATCAAAACCGTGGATGATGAGGTCAACCCAGATGGTTCAGCTGTTGATCCTTGGAGGCTTTGCAGAATGCAGCAAGTGGAGGAGGTGAAATGCCTTGTGAGAGTAATTCCCATCTGGGTCTCAGGCATTCTCTATTATGCTGCCATTGTCCAACAGCACACTTACGTAATCTTCCAAGCCCTTCAGTCCGATAGACGTCTCCCGGGCAGCAACTTCAGAGTCCCGGCGGCATCCTACATCGTCTTCGCCATGCTCAGCCTCACTCTCTGGCTGCCAATCTACGACCGCATCATAGTCCCCGTTCTGCGAAGATTCACAGGCAAAGAAGGCGGCATTACACTCCTCCAAAGAATGGGTATCGGAATGGCTCTCTCAGTTCTCACCATGGTGGTGTCTGCCTTGGTAGAAGAGAGGAGAAGGAGCGCCGCTCTTACCCGACCAACGCTGGGCACTGCACCAGGAGGAGGCGCCATCTCGTCCATGTCGGGGCTGTGGTTGGTTCCTCAGCTAACTCTCGCAGGCCTATCGGAGGCTTTTGACTCGATCGGCCAAATCGAATTCTATTACAAGCAGTTCCCGGAGAACATGAGAAGCATTGCTGGCTCGATGTTCTTCTGCGTCATGGCAATGTCAAGTTACTTGAACGGTTTCTTGGTGTCCGTAGTTCACAAGACTACCGCCGGTGCTGCAACTGGCAATTGGTTGCCGGAGGATCTTAACAAGGGGAGGCTGGACTACTTTTATTACATGATTGCCGCCTTGGGGACCCTGAATTTTGGGTATTTTCTTTTATGCGCTAGGTGGTACAGATACAAGGGTACTGGTGAAAAGCCCCTTGAAGTTGTAGAAGTCGCCATGGAAACCCAAAAACCTGAAAAACCTCCTGTTAGTGTTTGAATTAACAAAAAGCACCAAAAATTGCGACTGCACTCTACACATGAACCTGATCTGATCAGGTATTGTTTTTCCTTTTTGTTATTAAAAAAAAAAATACGCGATTTCGTCAGAAAGCGGATCACCTCCGGACAGTGTACAGTGGTTGGTGAGAAAATTTACTGCTACTATGGTCGCAGCATACATGTGATCCCCAAAATGGGGGCCCTGCCCGGCTGCCCCTACAGTCGTCCTTTGTATAGTGATCAGGGTGTAATTTTGCTCTGTATGAATGTTGGAAGAGGTACAGATCATCCTAAGGAAAAGAAAAGGGACCCAGAAAGAGAGAAGAAAATGATCAAAAAGGGATTTTGCAGTTCTGAAATGTACCTCATAAAAAATGTATACTGTCACACGTCTTGGCAACATATGGAAATACACTTGCAGCATGTCCCTTAGATGGATGCTTTTGGTTTTTGATGAGGATGGCACTGTTTGGCATAATAAAAAGAAAAAAAAAAGAGGGAAAATAAATGGAGAAAAACTAGAGTGAGTCTATCTCAAATGTGTTCACCTTTCTTGAATCTTGTCTATGAGATAATGCTATATGGGAGAAGATCAAATTCAAAGTTTTGTTTGAAAAACTTAGGCCTTCTAATAATAGATAATTTATTGAAAATAAATTAAGTTTGTAATCATATTTTATCTTCCAAATTTATTATTCATGCACAAATCAATCTTTTTGGGAGGCATTGCTGATCTACTTCAATGCAACAGATGGAAAACTAAACAAATGAAGTATTCTCGGCTGTAGAGATGGGGTATAGCCGTATAGCTTTAGATGTGGAAGAAGTAATTTGATTGAAAATAAACAAAAGCCTCATTCATGAGCTCATGGATCAGATTGAACCCAAACCATCTCATTATAAGCAAATCAAAATTAGACCCTCAATATCCTTTCATCCATGAAACTAAGGTCTTGTAACCCAGATCAATGGTTTCCCTAGAATTACGTAGAGGAGGATTGGTAGAAGCGAAGTGGTGTTATAATTGAAGAGTAGGCATTTTGGTTAATCGTGTGTATGGGAGACGTTTTGAAACTCAATAAAAAGCTAAAAAATGTTTAAGGAAAGAGTTTATTATAATTGGCGACTTCTGTGTGATAATGATGAATTAAGAAAGGAATCTAAAATTTAATACTAACTAGCAGGGAGCCTTATGTAAAGATGAGGGCTAATTCCGGCACTAATTTAGGGACCCTGCTTTAACTGCAGTTATTTAAAAGACTGAAATAACCCAGAATTACTTCTTGCACAGTCTTTTTATGTAAGGATAATAGTGTATTTTCAATAGTATTAAAGTAAAGAAGAGTGGACAAAACTTAAAATATAATTATAATGATATTTTACATTTTTTCTATATTAAAAATAATATAAACCACACGTGTAAGAAGGGAGGAGAAGGAGAGCTATGTGTAAGCTCTGTGGTGACAGGATCCCTCACCTCCTCTCTTTCCTCTTTTATTATTATATAGATATAGATATGTTCTCTTCTTCTCTCGACCATGTCTGCTGCAGCAGTCCTTTTCATTTTAATTAAGTCCGACCTCACTTCTACGCTCCATGGGTTTTTGCTCAATGCCATTTCAACTTGTAGGGGCTATCCAAGACCTTTTCTCAGTGAACTTTTCTTCAAAAACTCATATGAGGTCAAGAAAAATTAGATCTTCATTAGTAAAATCTTGTATTTTGTATTATTTTGTATCTATTTACAATATATATATTTGTATTTATACTCTTTCCAAACTGAGCCTAAATATAAACTCATAAGAGAAAATCTCTTTTAGCCGTTTTTTTTTTTCTTAATTTGTTTCTTTGTTACAACTTCTCGATGGAACCAGAAACCATTATATAATGTTCCTTACACAGGTTATATAGATTCCAATCTGACAATATACAGTGTTCCTTTCCCATCAATCCTTTCTTGGCAACAAAACGGACCATAAAGAAAGTACTAAGTGATAAAACAAAGAGCAGGATTTCTCTATGCATTCTCTCAAATTGGTAAGTCCAAAAGAAAAAAAAATTGACATCTCTACTTCATCAAATTGTGATGTCAAAAGAGGGAATGAAAAACATAAGGTTCTTAACTTATGACATGAGAGACCAAATTTACAAGTTTTTCTTATTTTTTTCATTTTTGTATACTAACTCTTCCAAAATCCACCTTGATTGGTTTCAGAAAATGAATATAAGATCACCACATAGTTCTCTGAGAAAAAATTCACCATGTTGTTCCTAAAATGGTTTATCCGCATGCTGTTGAGATATAGTCTTTATCAAACACAAAGCATATCAAAAAAAATTCTAGAGCAAAAAAGAGCTTCATTCCAATGCTTAGCAGTAGATTTCATGTTTGAAGCAATCTAAGGGCCATTCTTGTTTTCCTCCTATTGATCATGGGCATGTTTTTCCAAGCTACTTCTTTTCTCTAACCAGACCCAACGCTAATAAGGGCCTGTCTGGTTGGCGGTAATAGAGGTCTGGAATCGGAATTGGAATTGGCCATTCCAATTCCAACTGTTTGGTTGGGTGGAATTGGAATTCTATTTTCATTCCTGGTGGAATGATATTCCCCCATTTGAGGGAATGGCCATTCCCTCCCCCTCCCTTGAGATCTCATTCCAGCTGATTTCAATTCACACTACAATTCCTATATGAACCAAACAGCTTATGGGAATAGATTACTCCAATTCCAACTCTGATTCTGACTGTGAACCAATCAGACCCTAAATTGTGCATGAGTTGAGGCTAGGGGTGTCAATGGACCGGTTTTGGGTTGGACTTCATCCAAATCAAAATCCATTTGGATGGATTGGATGGACCAATAAGACATATTGAATTTGGACAGACTGGACAGACCAATATGACATATTGGATTGGACCTGGTCCGTCCATAATGAATTTATATTTGATTGAGCCAATATCTGGTCCATTGATAGAAAATAAGAACATAGGTGTCAATGGACCAGGTTTGAATTGAAACCAATCTAAATTAACAGGAATTTGAACAGATTGGACAATCTCTGGACTGATCCAAAATGGTCCAAAATATTCATTGGAATGCATTAGACCAGATCCATTTGTAATGGATTCACATTGGACTGGACCGGATTGGACCAAATCCAGTCCAATTGACACCCCTAGTTGAGGCCTTTAAGTAACCACCAGGTTCAAACTATGCATGACTTAACCCTACTAAACCCATTTGACTAATGATTTGTGTATGTCTTACCTAATGAAATTTATACATGCATTTATCTTTTATTTTGTATTTTATTTCATTTGTAAGTTCTAAGTTGGGTTATGAAAGGTGGAAAATGCAAAACATAAACAAGAAGACCTTAAAAACTCGGCCATCTTGTCCAAGCGTAAATCCCAGAGGCACAGTACTGACAGTACTGCAGCACTGCTATACTGCTGGGTTTAGCTTGGATTGGGTACTTGGGTTAGGGTCAACTTGAGCTTTTACGGCAGATTCCACTGGGCCTTGGCCCAAGGTCTAAGTCTTATGATTGGCCTTAAACCTAATTCAACCCACCTGAGTTATACTCTTCTGTAAGAGGGTATAAGCCTAAAATTTAGCCCAAGCCTCCCTATTCAATCCAATTACAAAAATGGATCAAATTCAGATCAGCCCTTCCAATTGGTCAAAAAGAGATTGGTGGTGTGTTCAGCAAGTTTTCATTCCATTATGTGATTAGGGTGGATGTGGATCCATATCCAACCCAAGACTGATTAGAGGGGAGTTCACCTTTAAGTAAGTAAGGCTCCGTTTGCTTTTCAATAAGTTATTTATCTGGGTAAATACAGTTATCTGGGTAAGTTTTTCTTAGGAAATACTTGCCCGGGTAAGTACATTTACCCATGTTCTTTTATTTTTCATGTAAATAAGGCAATGACCATTTTAGCCATAAAAATGCATTATTAAAAATGACATTTTTGTCTCATTCAAGTGTTGTCAACTTTCCCCCTAGGTGGGAAACTTATTTACCCACCTAAGAGATGGGTATCACTTAAAGAAAATAAACTTTCTTTAGTCCTTACATAAATCTGAAAAGAGAACATGGGATTCTTAGTCAATGAAAACGAAAATCCCATTAACCAATTTTCCTCCTCTCAAAATCCGAGAAAAGAACGTCCCCTAAGTGTTATGCTTAACCGAATGACTTCTAAAAGACAAGATTTTTATAACTAAAATGCCAATCCAATGTTACTACTGAATTGGATCGGTTTTGGACTTTGATTAGTTGTGTGACATCTACTAAAAGAGTTGTTTTGGTCTATCATATCATCATTCATTGATTGGGATCATGATTATTTGGGTACAAGACACAAAAGTTCCACAAATCGTCTAACCTCAAATTTTAGTGATCCATTAGAGATTTTTAAATGTGATAATCAATGTAAAAGTACATCAATAAAGTTGATGTATTATTTACATCGATTATCGATACAGATCAAAAATAAAATTTTATATCGGTTTGTATTTACATTGAAAAAAAAAACGCAAACAAACATAAACAATTGAACAATGATAAAATTTTATGTCAATTCACATTTACACCGAAAAACAAATACAGCCTTAAAAAGACCCAGACCCGACAAAGAGGAACTTCAATCTAATAAATGGATTTGGATGAGACCTGCTCCATTCTAGACCAGAATTTCTTCAATATGGGTCCCGCATGTGGAACATTTTTGGACTTTGTTCGATTGAAGAGAACTAGCAGTTACCCGCTATTACAAAAGCACTTAAAAAATGAATAAATAATAATTCACTGAAATAGTTTTCTTTTCTTTCTTAATTATTGAGATTTGAGCTTCAAAACTCATATATTATGAGAAGTATATAAGTGCTTGACATGAAATTAATAACTAGATTTAAAATGGAAAAAGGAACAGTTTCAAATATGAATGGATCACTAAGAACCAAAGTCTCATATGTTCTTCTAACATTTTATAATTTATTATTATTATTAATATTAATAATAATAATAATATTATTATTATTATATAAAATTAACATTGACAATATGACCATATATATATATATATATAAATTGACTCAAAACAATAACAATCTGGACCTTATTGTTGCAATTCAAGAGTAGGCATTACCTGAAATAAATGTTGAGAAAGAAAGCAGTAAAGTTTGATGCAATGACAATAACCATTTGATTTATAATATAGTTTAGGATGGAAAATTTTTATAGTGGCATAGACTAATTAAGAAAAGGGTACATGCACTAACTGGTACTATCATCTAAACTCTATGATGGGAAAAGTAAGAGAAAAATTAGGGAGGAGAATTATTTGAATATGGAGTGTATTTTCCATTAACCACATCTCTTAACAAAATCAAAGTGTGAAATAGAAAAGGAAAATACAAAAAAAAAAAAAAACAGCTGCAAAGGTGAATTGATATAGCTAGACATCACGACCTCAAACATAACCAACACTATCCCAACATGCTTCCAATATGATCTAGGTCCACACATCTCATGCATCTCACCACAAGATTGGGATCAGAACAGTTTTTTGCTGTTAGAAAGTGGATTTATCACCTTTCTTAAAGCTTGCCCATGAGATAATGTTATATCGGAGAAGATCAAATTCAAAGTTTTGTTTGAAAAATTTAGGCCATCTAATAATAGATAATTTGTTGAAAATAAATTAAGCTTTAATCATATTTTATGTTCCAAATTTATTATTCTGCACAAAATCAATCTTTTGAGAGGCAGTGCTGATCTACTTCAATGCAAGGGATGGAAAACTAACCAAATGAAGTATCCTCTGCTGCAGAGATGGGGTATAGCCGTATAGCTTTAGATGTGGAAGAAGTAATTTGATTGAAAAAGGAACAAAAGCATCGTTCATGAGCTCATGGATCAGATTGAACCCAACCCATGTCATTATAAGCAAAACAAAATTAGACCCTCAATATCCTTTCATCCATGGAACTAAGGTCCTATAACCCAGATCAATGGTTTCCCCAAAATAGAATTACGTAGAGGAGGATTGGAAGAAGTGAAGTGGTGTTATAATTGAAGAGTAGGCATTTTGGTTAATCATGTGTATGGGAAGGAAAGAATTTATGGTTGAGTGATATTAGGAAATTATTAATTAAAAAATTACAAGGTGGAGAGATTTAATTGGTGACTTTTGTGTGATAATGACGAATTAAGAAAGGAATCTAGAATTTAATACTAACTAGAAGGGAGCCTGATGTAAAGATAGGGGCTAATTCCGGCACTAATTTAGAGACCCTTCATTAACTGTAGTTATTTAAAAGACTGAAATAAGCCAGAATTACTTTATTTTTTTGTTGCAAAAGGATAAGATATTCTTCAATTAACCCAGAATTACTTCTTGCACAATCCTTTTATGTAAGGTTAATACTGTATTTTCAATAGTATTGAAGTAAAGAGGAGTGGCCAAAACCTAAAATAGAATTACACATTTTTGCTATATTAAAAATGACATAAACCACATGTATAAGAAGGAAAGAGAAGGAGAATTATGTGTTAGCTCTCACTGCAGTGACAGGACGCTCACCTCCCCTCTTTTCTCGTTTAGGTGGATTTGGGCCTCTTGAACTTTTTACCTGTGCGTGCCACATTTCGAGCACCTGGACCTATGATCAGATGCATCCTACATTCCTACTAGTATGCCAATTGAATTATTACCAAATGGCCCGAAAATAATCTGATCCTGAAATGTGGGAACTGGGAATTGTAGCAAGTTATGGGCCCTGGATCCATTTACGTGTCATATTTCCCCTGCCCAAGAAAAAAGGACTCTTGATAAGCCCATATCCCAAAGAATAGTTAATCTTAATCAAACGAAGTAATTATATTTATGGGCCTTAGTCTTTGGGCTCAAAAATCCTACCCGACCCGCTGCTTTGTTTCTTCCCTCCTTACACCCTTGGTCAGCTTTGCATATTTAGACTTTAGAGAGACTCGGAGCTCAGAACCTCTTCAAAACCCTTGGCAAGTTTCACAGCTCCTCCTCCTCCCATCGGTCGCCGGCGCCACCAACTACTACCGCCACCACTAACAGAGATAAACCGCCAGAATAAGCGAAGGGAGTGAACCAGGGCGTCACCAACAGCAATGGCGGCCTCGGCGGCCTCAGAAGTTACAGATGGTCCCGTCCTGAGTCTCATCAACAAGCGTCTCCGAGCCCTCCGGAAGAAATACAACCGAATCCTTCAGATGGAGGACGGTATTTCTCAGGGAAAGCCCATCAACAAGGAGCAAGAGGAGGTCCTCCGCTCCAAGCCCGCCGTTGCCGCCCTTATCGATGAGGTCGAAAAGCTTCGTCAACCCCTCACCGCTGCCCTCCAGGAGGAGCTCAACCTTGCCGTCCAACGTCATCAAGTCTCCGCTACTCCCCCTGTCGTAGACGACAATGTTAAGGACAGTGAAGAGGAGGGTGGAGAGCCAGAGGAAACCAGGCCGGACTGGGACCGTAACGAAGCCGTTCTCGAGGATCTTCTGAATCTACTATACTTTGGATCTCTGTTCGATGTCAAGCCCCAGAGCGATTTCACCTCTACGATGCTCACCAGGACTCATGAGCGTGGTTGCTGCTTGACCTATGATTACGTGACCGATGATGCCACCGATCTACTTGGGGAGAAGGATTTGGATATGATTTCTATGTTGGGCAGTCTCGTGATTTCCCGCCCCGTTCATTCTATCTTCTCGCACAAGAATGCTTTGCGTAGCTGCGTCCAGCATGCGAAGCTCTGGCTTTCCAACTCGGAGCAGCCCATTGAACCTGGAGCCACTGTTACATGTATTACGCGCTTACGCTACTCTTTGGTTCCGTTTGATCCTTTAATTTCTGAAATTGTTTGATTACCCCGTATACGTGCTTTTGGCGAATCATGGTTTTGATTGACAGATGCGGGGTTGAGAGAGCGACTCAACAAAATACTGTCTTCTGATTACTTTACCACCACTCCCGAGATGAAAGCTCCGGTTGAAGTGGCTGCAGCTGCAGGCAAGTATGCTCCTTGCCAGGTACCAGTTCAGAACTCCACAGTGCCATCGCCGGTGCCCATCCAGGCAGACTGTCCACTTGGGCATTGCCTTGATAAGGTGAAACTTGTTTTGCCTGCAATAAGGGTTTTTAGAATCTGGAAACCTTTTTATTCCCTTTTTACGAAATAATTATTTTTTGAACATTCACGTAAATAGCCTTTTGAGGAATAATCACTAACATAATAATTGGTTAATCACCAAACTCATAAATTTAAGTCTTAATGCATTTGCATTTTTCATTTATTTTATATGTATATATATATTTTTTGGTGGTACTGTAATTCCAGCATAGTGTTCGCTGGTTTCTTTCGAGGTTGTACTTAAGCTGATGCAGCTTTAATTAGTGAACAAAGGCAAGATTAGACATGTATTGTCAATCTCAGGAATTACATTCTATTTATGAAAATTGAGGGTAATTTTAGAGTGACGCACTGAGAGGCTAAGAAGTATGCTTTGGTGTTTCAAAATAACTTCTCAGGTTGTGGATCAGGCATGACTATTGTTATCAATAACATCATCATCACCACCATCATAGTTGTTATTTGTTAAGGCAATGCCTAAGCAACTGAGTCCCCATGGGGTCACCTGCCCAAGCACCTAGTTGTGAATTTATAATATTTCCATAGACATTGTTACATTAGTCATATAAAAATATAGACATTGTTACATTAGATCATTCATTCATTTCGTGAGTTTATAATAATTTCATATTACCAGTTTGGCAGTACCTTTTTAGCATTTTCTTATTTTTAGGATTAACCTAGAAACAAGTTGATGGATGCCACCTTCAGTTCTTGAAGACTTTAAAACCTCAATCAATAAGGAAGAACTCAAGAAAGAATTTGAAGACTTCAACCGCCCCTTTCTTTGCTTCTTATTTTGAGATAAAAATAGGGACCCTGTCCCTTCTTCTTATTTTCTGCCCCTTAGAAGTGCCACTCCTTATCCTTCTTTTATATATATATATATATATATATATATTACTTTTTTCTCTGGGTCAATCTTCTTGATGAAGATTGTACTTCCTTCTCATGAATATGCTGATTTTCTATGTTTTGATATATTGCACTTGTACTTGATAATGATGATTGCTAATTGTCAGTAACTGATCGTTTCTGGTTACAATGAAAACTAGGGAATTAGCCTAAGATTCAGGTTTTTCGTTTTAAAAGAAATACTTGTCCTAGGTAACACCTAATACAATGACTATACACCCAACGGACATCCTTCCGAACCAGCTAACCACCAGCTGTGGACCTTCCCTGTATCTCCACCTAGAATAGCCAAGTCCAAACATCAGTTGGTGAATCCTCAATAATGACAAGAACTTTGCTCCAGTATTGCATGGATGCAGAATTGGAATCTGAAACATGTTTGGAAATCTAACTTGATGGACCTGTGGACATATCTACAAAAAAAAAAAAACACTTTTAATATAGTCCATTCTCTTTGAATTCTAATGTTATATCCCTATGGAAATGGTCCAAAACTTTATAGAGCAGCCACTTTGTGCAAAAGGGAAGAAAAATGCCAAAGGTTAGGTCTTTATCATGCCCACCCTTCCTCAGACTGTAGGTAGCTGGGACTGACATTGGTTAATGGCCTTTTTACTTGGTAATGTTCTACTGGAAAAACGGAGTTCAGAATCTGGCACATGTGTACTATACGCATTATCTATTTATGAGTCCGTGCATTAGTATTCTACTCAAATAGAGGCATGCCATTCCATCAGTCCAGAATACATCTGTAGAATCTCCCTCGTACAGCTTGGAAATACACCTTCAATTTCTGGAGGGCTTGGATTGCCCAAGGAACACCCACCAAAGTGAGTTTAATTTCTAGGACGTACTTTCTCTGTAGAACTTGCTTACACACCAACTGTGATGTCCTGCATCAGGTAGCATTAGAATGAATTGTGATTTTTTATGAATTGCTTGTTGCATGATGTGTTTTGTGATTTGTGATTTGTGATGGACAAGCCTTCTTAGGCTGTCAATATCTATCATATAATGTAAGTGTAATTGTTGCTAGTGTTGCATGGACACTCCTAATTCTCAAGTGGTCAATGTGACCATTATCAGACATGGATCGGAGTGAGACACTCCATTGATTCTTGACTTGTGGACACTTCTACGTAACATTTCCTTTCAAACTCCTAGTTTATTTGACACAAATGTGCAGATAATGTACAAGATTAACGCCATTTTTGATGTCAAACGTTACTTGGTAACAAAGGCAGCATTTTTTGCATGTATATTATATGATGTTAGAATTCAAAAAATATGATTTAATAATAATATGTACTTTTCCATAGACGTGTCCACAAGTCCTTGTTTTTTCATCTTGTCAAGTCAGTCTCTTGGACAGGAATCAGATTCCAAATCCCGTGTCTGTATCCATGCAAAACTGGCTCTTCTCTATGCTGACAAAAGAGGATCTCCTTTATATGCTTAGGATCTCTTTGCTTGCAATGCAAATCATAGTTGTCAATGCAACATCTAGGCAGGTGCCTACACGATGCCTAGGGTGCCTAGTTGCTTTTTGGGGCTCGTCTCACCCAAACATTAAGTGGTTTATATACCACTTATACAAAGTTTTATAATGTTTTCATATGTTTTTATATTTTTAGTATATAATATTAATATAGGCATGATACGCTGTATCATTCTATTATTTCTTTAACAAAATAATATCTTTTATTGTTAGTTTCTTATTTTGTTAGGGTTCTGAGTGATAGATATTTGGAAGCTAAGAACTGAGGAAGACTAATAGGGTGACTGGTACAAACTTACAGAGTTTGAAGTCTTAAGCAAGGAACACCAACCAATCATAGAAGGTATGTTCTTCATCTCCTCTTCTTCTTCTTCTTCTTGGAGCAAAAAATAGGGTCTCCGCACCTTCTTCTTCCTTTTTCTGGAACAAAAACAGGGGCTCTGCTCCTCCATCCTATTTCTAGAACTAAAATAGAGGTCTCCTCCTTCTCCACCATTTTTGAGCCTTATTTTTTGTTCTTTCATTTTTTAAAGACAAGAATAGGGGCTCTACCCCATATTTTCCATGTTACTTTTTGTCTTTTTTACTTCTTTTCCTACACCAGAAACAGGGCATCAGCCCCTTGTTTTTCTATCCCTTTTTAGACATTAGGCAGGCGTGTAGGAGATTTGGCGACTAGTGCTCCCCTTGTCACCTAGGTTTGCCTTGGCGCCTTGAAAACTATGGTGCAAATCTGAACCGGGTACAAATTTTGCACCTGGTTCAGTTCTGCATCCTTTTGTTCGTAACTATGATTTGCACTCCTACCTGATATAAAATTTGCACTTTTTGTCTCATTTGCAGTGCAAATTTTGTAATCCCAAAAACTGATGCAAAATTTGCACTACCTTCCTCCCACCTTTAATTCTCTCTGATATAAAGTGGAGACCACATTTTTCTTTCTAGGTTATTCCTCCAAAACAAATGACCTTCCTCTTTTCATGGTTCCCTTTCATATAAAGTGGAGACCACATCATTGAAGGGAGACAGTTGACGGATGGGGTTCTGGTAGCAAATGAAATAATAGACTCCCGGATCAGAAATGGAAGAGCTGGTTTGTTGTGTAAAATGGACTTAGAAAAAGCTTATGATCATTTCAACTAGGAGTTCTTGGATTATATGTTGAGGAGACTAGAAAGGTGCTGAAATAAAAAATCTGTAAAAGAAAAGAATATTTCTTGAAGAGGAGAAGAAAGGAGAAAAGGAAGAGAAGAGGTTTGAGAGAGAAAAGAGAGCAATAATGCTGGCCGCCCTCTTCACTATTATTTATAGAATGAAATAATAAAGAGTACAAAGACAAATATGCCCTTATAGAGCGGCTAACACATAAAACAGCATAAAACAATTAAAATAACTGCTCAAAAATGACTCAACAAGAGTGTTGTGGTCCCTACTTCCTATCTAAACAATAAATAATAAAAAACTATCACCATAGATTACAATCTAAAACCTCAACACTCACCCTCAAGTTGGGAGTAAATGTCACACATTCCCAACTTGCGTAGATTGTATTCAAGCTTATTCTTTGCAACCCCTTTGGTGAAGACATCAGCCAATTGTAGTTCAGAGGAGACATAAGGCAAACAGACTTCTCCAGTTGTCACCCTATTTCTTATGAAGTGCCTATCAACCGCAATGTGTTTAGTCCTGTCATGCTGAATTGGATTGTGGGCAATATTGATTGCAGCTTGGTTGTCATAATATAACATCATGGGCTCCTCAACTTTTATTCCAATCTCACTCAGTAGAGATCTCACCCAAAGTAGCTCTGAAACACCATTAGCCATAGATCTATATTCAGCCTCTGCACTTGTTCTAGCCACAACTGACTGTTTTTTACTTTTCCATGAGACCAAGTTTCCTCTCACAAAAGTGCATACCCCCAGCTGGAATGGCAGCCTTGATTGAAAAGAAAATGAGAGACTTGTGGAAAGGTTGGAAGGACATTAATAGGATTCATCTGGTGAATTGGGGAAGGGTCTGCAAGCACAAGAAAAATGGTGTGGCTTGGGAATCAGAAAACTGAGTGATCTAAATACTGCTCTTCTCGGAAAATGGTTTTGGAGATTTGGTCAGCAAGAGAATAGCCTATGGAGGAGAGTTATTAAAGCAAAAAATGGTCTAAGAAATGGGGGTTGGGACCCAGGTGAAGCAAGTCAGCCATAGTGTGCTCGGTTTGGAAAGGGATAGAGAAAAGCTACAGTCATTTCAGCACGGAAATCAGGTTTGAAGTGGGAAAAGGCACCAAGGTCAGGTTTTGAAAGGATCTTTGGTGTGGTGGCAGTCTTTTGAAAGACGATTTCCCTAAGTTATTTGCAGTTGCAGTGGATAAGGAAGCTAAGGTAGCAGATTACCTGCAGTTCTCCTATGGAATTTGTCTGGAATCCCCTGTTCAGAAGATGTCTAAATGACTGGGAAATTGAACTCTTTGCTCTTTTATTGCAAAAGCTTTATATTGACCCCATCAGAGACAATAGAAGAGTGTGGCTGAATGGAAATCGGAAAGGGTAAGCAGTTTTCTGTTAGCTCCTTTTATAACAAGCTGGCTAGGGAAGTTCAGGAGTTTCCCTTGAGCCTAATTTGGAGCAAACGCATTCCCTCAAAAGTTGCTTTTTTCATCTGGTGTGCCTATTCAGATAAAATATTAACTAAGGACAATCTCTTAAAGATGGTTGTGGGAATTGATTCTTTGGAATGTGTTCTCTGTAACAGGATGGATGAGTTAGCCGATCACCTGTTTATGCATTGTAATTTTTCTTACAGCATATTGGTGAAAGTTTTTAGCTTGTTTGCCCTCAGGGGTTGTTGCCTGGCATCAGTGGACAGCTTCTTGAAAGGATGGCACTTTCAAGGTCTAAACAAAAGAGCAAAGGCAATATGGCAGATGATTCCTGGAGTAGTGTGGTGATCTATATGGCAGGAAAGAAACTCTAGAATCTTCCAGAACAAAAGCTGTCAATTGGAGATCGTGTGGCAAAAGATTGTGGGCAAGCTGTTTTCTTGGTCATTAGCTCAGTTTAATCTAAACAGTTACTCAATTTAATTCTCCTTTTGGTTTATGTAAATCTTTCTGTAAAGGCTGATGAGATAGTGTTTTAGTTTTTTGTATGGCTCTCCCTGGTACAACCTCTAGCTGTTCAGGGTTTTTCATAATGAAATTCATACTTTACCTCTTCTCAAAAAAAAAAAAATCATTTTACTTCTCACAAACAAATAAGACAAAGTTGGATATAAAAGTAAGCTAGAATTTACACTCAGCCCATTGTACTACCATACATTCATAAATGTTCAAATGATATTCAAACTGCAAACAAACAGCGTATTGGGTTCCATGCGAGTAGTGACAATTTTTGTCCATGACATAAATTGAGTGTTTCTAGGTCCTTCCTGTGGTAGTCTTTTTTTTTTTGTGAAATCCTGTGGTAGTCTGTCTATCATAGATGGAGTAATTGGTCCCTCTCTGACTTTCCCTATATAGGTTATCATGTAATGAATCCAGGATTCCTTTACCTCTGTTCCTCTCTTAGGGGGAGTGCATCAAAGATTCAAAATTGTGGTGCATTTAATGTTTCATTTGGAGGAGGCTTACCAATTATGGCTAAGAAAACAATGCATATGTATTGGGTGAGGGAAAGCCCCTCAAGGTACTAAAATCTCTATTTTTTTTGGTGAATTATTGAGAGATATAGCTAGAAACATTCACTGCATATGTATTTCCTTCAAAATTGCATGTTTCATTTATCACGTGTTTCAGTGTTTGCATGCTGCGATGCGATGAATTAGCTTACAATCAAATTCTTTATCTTGTTAGTGGATAGAGACAAAGTATATATTATCGGTCTTTCTTATTGTTATTTTTTTAATGATCTATCAAAAGTGTATTGACATGTTCATCGTTTACATATTGTCATGAAGTATTTCTTTTATGATTTTGGCCCAGACGGTAATTGTGTTGAAAATTCTAGACTTTTTTCTTTACTTTAGTTTCTTATTGTGACAACAAAGGTAATATTATTATACTGTTTTATTCATAAATACGTAAATGTCTAAGTATGTCTATATGTGTTGGGAAAAAGTGATATTGCCCTAATATTATTGTAAGCATATTGGTACCTTGGATTTATCTGTGACAACTGCTATCTGAACAGTTTTTTAGTAGATTCCATGTCAGTTTTTGCTTTTTAACAATATGTTAATATGTTAATGAATATTTTAATTAAAGTGTCCCAATGAGAAGAACACAAGCTTCAAGTTGCAGAGTCAATGTAAGGAACCATGTTTGAGACAGTGTTTCAAAAGGTGCTAGAGTGGAGTTTGGAGATGCATAGGCATACTCTATTGTGCTGTATACAAGAGGTGTACACCTTACATTTAAGCCAGTTTTTATGRTAAAAGTGTTATAGATAAGCAGGGAAACCATTTTATCACGTTCCCTATTCAGAGGATGAAAAGGTGCTAGAGTGGAGTTTGGAGATGCATAGGCATACTCTATTGTGCTGTATACAAGAGGTGTACACCTTACATTTAAGCCAGTTTTTATGATAAAAGTGTTATAGATAAGCAGGGAAACCATTTTATCACGTTCCCTATTCAGAGGATGAAAACTGTCCAAATTTGTTTATTGTAATATTATAATAAAAATTTATCATTATGAAATTAAAAGAAATTCTTCTTCTCTTTCTTCCTCCTCTTCAGGTCGCATACACCTCTTGCGTTCTGAGCTACATGTCACACCTCCAGTTTGTGGAGTGCATCATGTCATGCCTCCATACTTTAAAACATTGATTTGGGATGTTTTCCAATGTTAAAGAGGCAAAGTTTAAGCTTAAAATGCTGATAAAAAAACAAGTTTAAGCTTAGAATTTCAGATGAAATGAAGGGTATTTAAATGCTTTTTTTATCTATATTTGCATTTTTAGTGGAAGAAAGTTTTTTTCTTTTCCAAAAAGGTGTCTTGTTATGATTAATTAAATTACTTCTATTCTTTATGTTATTATTTGCTCATCAAGATAATTATGGCATTAGTTCTTATACAATATCATATCTTTTTCAATGTTTTCCTACTGTTTAAATTTTCTGGCAGGAGGAAGACGGTCTGCATTTTCAAGGACAAGACACTGGTGCTGATCAATCACTTCCTGTTGATGAACCACCCAAGCCGGTAGTCCAATAACCAAAAGGGTTCTATTATCACCTAACTTATGCCACCTTTTAGGTGTAAAATGGATTTTTACTTTTGGTTTTGGCAGGATGAGCCAGAGCAGCTGATTCCGGATGAGGTCACTTCAATTGAACAGGAACAGCAGAAGCCACAGTTGGAGGTTGAGGATGATGATGAGAGAGAGGTGGAGTCAAGGGAGCAACAGTACATTCCACGGAAGACATACATGAACCAGAGAGGCCGTGGTGGTGGTAGCAGGAGGGGTTATCCCAATGGCCGTGGAGGTCGAGGTGGCAAGGGAGGTGGGAGCTACCAGAATGGTCGCAACCAATATTATGACCAGCCAGGAAATTATTACCCCAGGAATTACTATAACAGTAGAGGAAGGGGTGGTAGGGGTGGTGGAAATGCTTATAACAATCATGCACCAGCAGCTCATGGTGGTCATGAACGTGCTTCTTGACTCATTGACTATGATGTTGGATTGTAGAAGACTTATTTTAGGGTTAGGGTGTCTGATTTATAGCTCCTTTTCCTTTTTGTTGTCCCCTTTGTTTTTGTTTTCCATTTTTTTCTGGAGGGAGCGGGGAGAAAATTTTAAACTGGAAGAAATTATGGTTGGAACAGAGATGATAAATCTGATGTAGCCGCTTAGCCCTGAACATCTTTTAACTGAGGATTATATGCTCTTCTGTGCTTAATATTGCTTCACCCCCTTGCCTGGAACGTGTAGATTCTAGGTGTGATTGTGTAATTGTAAATAAATAGTAGAAGAGTTCTGCAGCCAGGCGTGAAGATATAAAGATTGCCGACCTGGTTGTTGATCCAGGATAAGCTAATTGGAATATATGCCTAAAAGTCGTATCTCTGATGGATTTGTTTGTTGAAAACTGAAAGTTATTCCCATGGCCAATTGGTCATTACAACTTATGTACTTCCTATGCCATTTTGATCACATGGCATTTGGCCTGTCGGCAATGAAGTCCAACTACTATTTTGCAACGTGAAATGTCACTAGTTCAGGACCTACCATTCGATTTGCAACGTTGGGACAAAATCTCTGATTACCTTTATTTTTTAATAAGTCGAATCATTTGATTTGCAAGGAACAGTTGCACATGTCCAAGATTTTCTCAAGAAAAGAAATAAGGAGAACCCAATCAAGTAAATTAATTATGTTGATATTATCTTCACCCAAGAAACAAAGGTTATTTTTCTTTGGAGAAGTAAAAATATATTTTATTTAAGGGAAAAGATGCTAAATCTCCCCATGGTTTCTCGACGATGGTCTTTATTAGTGGTGTAGGTCGGGTTCAAGGCTTAAAATATCAAAATGTTAGATTACTTAAATGGAAAAACCCATGGTTCTAAAAAACGATCTGAAAATGGAACTGTTCTAGCCATCGGTTTCTGGGTTGACAGTTCGGATGAATGGTCCGTTTTGACTAAAAATAAAAAATTAAAAAATGGCCAAAACCGTTGAATGGGTCGATGGATCGACAATTTGACCGTTCGGGTCAATGGGTCATTGATTGATTCAACGGTTTTTGGTTAGGGACCCGGTTTGGGGTAAAACAGAACTAGTTGCCTGGATGGTTCCCGGGCTGAACGATCCGACTGTTCGGGCCAATGGTAGTTCGAAAACTATGGGAAAATCTATTATGTGGAAAAGATAAGATTACTTAAATGGGTTTTTACCAATCAAAACTCACCCATGAATTTTGATAAATAACACCTTATTCGCTATCACATTTATGATTCCAGTTTATTGGTTTGTTGTTTTTTGGATATCATATCTTTTTCCATATCATAGTTGAACACTACTTAAATACCCTAACATAGGCATCAGTCCATGTCAATATGGTTGGTATTGATGTTTTTTTTTTTATATTTATTAGTGATGAAGGAAGATTTGGCCCGACCTCGTAATCACTCAACATGTGGCAAAGGCAAACAGCTCGGCACAACAGCGCACCCAGGGCGCAAGCACCAAAGGGAGGAAACCAGCGGTCCGAACTCCCCACCAGCAATCCGAACAAGGAGCCCGAACTCCCTACGAGGAGCCCGAACTCCCTAATAGGAGCCTGAACTCCCTACGAGGAGCCCGATCTCCCTACTAGGAGCCCGAAACTCCCTACGAGGAGCCCGAACTCTCCCTTAGGCCCTGAGCCACACAAGGCAATGACCCGAACTGGCCCGCCTCATGGCAGTTCATGACACTTCCCTATCCGAACTCAAGACCACCTCGCTCGCCACTCCAGCACTTCACCTCCAGGATGCCGAACTGAACAAACGTACCATACCTGACACCGAGGAGGTTCGTATCCAAGGGCGGCACACCTGATTGACTTGGGATCTGACACTTGACAGCCGCACTTCAACGGTCACCTGCCACCGTCATTGCCAGTCGTAGAGACGGCTCCGACAAAAGGGAGTAGTGGCGGTTCTGTCCAATAGAGGGGATGACACCCGAACTGGCAGGAGCCCAGAGGTAATCATACCCAACTTGACAGAAGCTTAGGAGTGAGTGCACGAGGTGGCTATAAAAGGCTCCCTACCCCCCAAGAACAAGGTACGTGAACTTTGCGCCATCTGGTTTTATCTTGCCTAAGAATTCTAACTTGAGCTTCGAAGCATTCATACCGGGTTCCCCCCGGAGCTTCCTCATCTTCTCTGTTTTAGGCTCCCTGTAGCTCTGTTCAGAGGCAAGGTTGTTGACAGCTAGGACCATCCGGATTGCGCACCATCAATTGGCACGAAAATAGAATGTTATGTAGACGACATGATTGTCAAGACGCAGTTTTCACAGGAATTAATACAAGACTTAGATTCTGTCTTCCAAATCCTAAGTCAATTTAGCATGAAATTGAACCCTAACAAATGTGTCTTCGGTGTCACCTAGGGTACATTGTCAACCGGCACGGTATTGAGGCCAACCCGGACAAGATAAAGGCCATCCTAGATATGAGACCACCCCGGAAAGTAAAAGAAGTTCAAAGACTAAACAGCCGCATAGCCGCTCTGAGCCGCTTCATGTCCAAATCAGCAGACCGCTGCCTGCCYTTCTTCAAAGCAATCAAAGGCAAAGGGTTCGAGTGGACCCGAGACTGCCAGCTCGCGTTTGACGAGCTAAAATGCTACCTCGCTAGTGTGCAAACCTTAGCCCGGACCGAGGAGGACGAGGTCTTAGAACTGTACCTCTCGGCAAGCGACGAGGTGGTCAGTTCGGTACTAATAAAAGAAGTAGACCGGGTCCAACGACCCATCTATTATGTTAGTAAAATTTTGCAGGGAGCAGAGACAAGGTACTTGTAGATAGAAAAGCTAGCATATAA